CCCCAAATATTCTTAATATATATTAACAGTAAAAAGGTCAGCTCTGAGTTTGTGACCGGGGACAAAGAGGAGGCAAATTTTTTAAATACCTTCTTAAGCTCTGTGTATACAAAGGAAAAAAGGGGGAGCTTAACTCCATAATAGAGATAGTATTGACACATCCCTGAAAGAACTCCGATCAAATTAATATTTTTGATAAAATAAAGGTGAATAAAGCACCTGGACCAGTTGGCATACACCCAAGTGTCCTCAAAGAGTTGAGGTCTGTTATTACAAAGCCATGGATTCTAATTTTTAGAGGCACTTTAATCACTGGTGTGGTACCACTGGATTGGTGCAAAGGGATCCAAGTCTTTACCTACAGGTATTGATTAATTTGTGTGAAAGTTATAGCATCTGAAAACTATGGTGTATATATACTGGGTGGGAACTGACTGACAGGACATCACTGATCAGTGATAATACTATACACTGTCACTGTACTGACACTTACTGGGACGGGATTAACATCTCAGGGTAATCAAGGGGTTAAGTGTGTGTCTAACAAGTGTTAATGTGAGTATTATGTGCTTTTTACTAAAAAAGCTCTTTGTTCCTCCTTCCTGCTTTGCCTTCAGATGAAGAGACTGATCCCATTGTACAGAGCCCTGTGTTATTTGTCTTGCCTGTGACTGAACACAGCCAATCAGCAGGTCCTGGCCATGAATCGTTAGCTGGGACCTGTTGACAAAATTCTGCTGTGTCTAATCACAGCGCCCTGTACCCGAAAGAGGCCAGCAACGTACAGGTGCATTGCTGTGCCTGTAAAAGCTGCCCATCTGCAGTACAAAGTGGGTGTGGGGGGTCCTGAAGAAGGTAAAGTATACAGGCTTAGAATATTCTGTTTTTAATGGATAGAAAGCTTGATAAAAGACTGAAGAAAAAAAAAAAAAAGACAAAAAAAGAAGAAGAGTAGTGATAATGATTCATATTCTAAATGGTCGAAGGTTATTGGTGATGTACCCCAAGGTTCAGTGCTGGGACCCTTACTCTTTATTTATAAAGGATATAGAGCTTTGGATTAACAGTACCATTTCAGTGTTTGCAGATGACATCAGGCTATGTAGTGGAATAACATCCTTACAGGAAGTCTAGAACTTACAGGCCGAACTTAATGCATTATTGAATTAAACATGTGACAAATGAAGTTTAAAGGAGAAGTACAGCCAAAGTGATTTTGGCTGTACTTCTGTGGATCACAGGAATGCAGTTCGTTCGACACTCTACACTCCTGTGACCCGGTTTCAGTTGACAATGGAGTGATACCTGCTGTCAGCTGACATCACTCAGCCGGTCCAAGCTGGGGAAAGATCCTGACTTTAAAGCAGCTGTAAGAACTTAGCAATCAGAGGTCATGTGATCGCCAAGTTCTCAACCATAGAGCCGATGCTGCATCCACCTACCTTGTTTCCCCGTAAATAAGACACTGTCTTATATTTATTTTATCTCAAGAAGACACACTATGGCTTATTTTCAGGGGATGTCTTATTTTTATTAAGTATGGTACGTATGGTAAGTATGGGGAGCAGTAGCTTTACTGGTGTTTGTGGGGGGTGAGAGAGACCCACAGACTGTTGCTGGTTGGTGCTGGGGGAGAGAGACCCACAGTGCTGAGTAAAACAGCAGGCACAGCTTTACTTCTTCCCCCGAGGACACACAATACGGTACCTAAAGCAGAGCGTCCTGCTCCTCACTTCACTGAGGAGACTTTTAACTTTCACTTTCTACCTCTTCACTGTCTCCCTCTATGAATCAGCTTGCAGCACGCACAGAATGACCGGGTGCTGACCTTATTGATGGGGCTGCCCGTAACCTCTCTGTTCACCTCCGAGATAGCAGCTGTCACAATGGGGGAGATGAGAAGGGCTGCCCGTCCATCACTATGTCTTATATTTGGGGTATGGCTTATATTGCGAAATGCTTAGAATTCCTGCTACGGCTTATTTTATGGGTATGTCTTATTTTTGGGGAAACACGGTAGATAAGTATGATTTAACCAGTTGCCCTCCACCCTATAACAAATACTGCTACAGGGCTGCGCAAAGTCATGTATATATACAAGATTTGCATTTCCAGGTAGGGGACACGCACACGACACCCTACCTGCGCCACCATTGGCGGCTACAGATGTCAATCACCGGGTCCCGGCAGGAGATTCTCCACTGGTACCTGGCAATCGCCGAGAAACAGTGACAGGGGAGAGATCGGTGTGTAAACAACACAGGTCTCTGTCCTGACAGCAATAACATGCGGCTTTCTATTTCTGCACAGCAGAGAAATACACAGCAGCATGTTTCCCAAGTAAAACACACACAGTTAACCCTTTGATTGCCCCAGATGTTAACCCCTTCCTGCCCAGTGTCATTAGTACAGCGTCAATGCTTTGTATTAGCACTGATCACTGCATTAGTGTCATTGGGATGTCAGTGGCAGTTAGTTCCCACCCAGTGTCAGAATGCCCGCCACAGTCCTGCTATAAGTCGCTGATTGACGCCATTACTAGTATTAAAAAAAAAAAAAATCCAGTATATATACTAACCATTTGTAAACACTATACCTTTCCCGTAAACCACTTAATTTACATGTATTGGGATTTTGTTTTAGCAAAGACATGTAGATGAATACATTTTTGGCTAAATTTATGAAGAAATTTGATTTTTTACAATTTTTTAATGGATATGTGTTATAGCAAAAAGTCAAAAATACTTATTTTTTTTCAAAATTGTCGGTGTTTATTTATAGCGCAAAAAATAAAAACCGCACAGGTGATCAAATACCACCGAAAGAAAGCTCTATTTGTGGGGAAAAAGGACATAAATTTCATTTCGTGCAGCATTCCATGACCACGCAATTGTCAGTTAAAGTAAAGCAGTGCCGTATCGCAAAAAATGGCCTGGTCAGGAAAAGGGGTAAATCCTCTGGAGGGTGGTTAAATAGAAAAAAAAAAAAAAAAGTTCAGGATGGAGGACGGGAGCTGCCAAGTTAACTTTTCAAACTAATAAGCAAATGATTGCTTGCTTGGACCACCCTGCATCCTAGCAACCAATCACCTGCTGGTTAACTTAAAAGGTTACCTGAGGCAGCTCCCTCTTCCGCCCTCCGTCCAGAGATATGCTGCCTCCAGCTTTCCACTCCAGCTGTAAGGATGACAGCAGCACAGGCTGGAGGGAAGAACCAACTAAGTGGTGCGACCGCAGCAGTCCAGATGGCACAATGACCCCGACCAGGGTCCACCATTTAATGATCCCTAGAGGGTCGACAAAGCAGGGATGTGTTCACACTCTACTGATCCCCTACCTGTGGTCGAATGGTAGAAGTAGTTTTAGCCAGCTGAGTTGCACTTGTTCCTAAATTTACAAAATGTAACAGGATATCAACATTTATAGGTAATAAAAACACAAAAGAGTGTTGCTCCAAAGATGATCTGATTGCTTCCTGGGGGAACACGAAGCATATTTTTTCCTGCTGGAGCACATTAGACCATGCGTCATATGGCCTTTTTGCCTCTCTTCGGATCAACTGTAGAAATAGGATTGTGTATATGGAGGTTTTCATTTATTTATGTTTCCTATTGGTTGAACGGGATGGACGTGTGTCTTTTTTCAAGCTGAATAACTATGTAGCTATGTAAGAGGGCGATGTGGAAAGCCTATAACCTCTGAGCTGTGCAGGACGAGTGGCTATAGCCAAGAGGTCATAGAGAATCCCAGGTCTTGCACTAAGCCTGGGCAATTGGCGAGAGACCATCTGAAGAAGCCACAAGATACACAGAGGGCAATTTATCAAAACAGGGCCATCCTGAATCTGGAACAGCTGTGCATGATAACCAATCGGCTTCTTTCATTTTCAAAGCTTAACTGGACAAGATGAAGATAGAAGCTGATTGGATGTCATGCACAACTGCTCCAGATTCTGACTGCTCCAGTTTTGATAACTTCCCCTCATTTTTTGCAAGTATGCATGCGCTATTTTTATCTTGCAATTTTATAATGTTTGCGTAAAAAAAAAAAAAACCCTTAGTTCTGCTTTAACCACTTCCAGTCCGGACACTTTTACCCCCTTCTTGCTATCACGCCATCACACTTTGAATGACAATTGCGCGATCATGCAACACTGTACCAATATGAAGCATTTTTTTGAGACAGAAAGCTTTATTTTGGTGGTATTTATTCACCACTGGGATTTTTATTTTTTTTGCTATGTAAATGAAAAAGTCCAAAAATTTTAGAAAAAAGAAAAAGAAAAAAAAATAAATAATATTTCATCATAAATCTTGGCCAAAATGTATTCCGTTATCTTTTTAGTAAAAAAAAAAAACTCAAAATTAGTTTATAACCAAAAACTATAATTTTTAAACATTTTTTTTTTTACATTTTTATATTATTTATTTATGGGTTTTTTTTTTTTTTTTTTTTAACATACTGTCACCCTAGCAGTACTGTACTACTTGTGGGGGTGATGAAGAGTTTTTTTTTTTTTACACCTATAAAGGCTGTAAAAGCAATCATTTCTCCTTCTCTCTCTGGCAGCCATTGAGAACTACTGTGTGAGCTGTGATTGGTCACAGCTTGTCACATGGTACAAGGCTGTTGTAATAGCCTTGTACCATGTGACCTCTGTGATCATTCACAGATTTCACACACAGTAAGCAATGATGTCAGAAGTGACATCTTGCTTACTACTCTGCATTTGATCACTGATTAGCCAATCAGTGATCACATGATCGGGACCTCGCACGGTCCTGTCCAGACGATCGGTGTTCCACTGTGTCCAGAGGACACAGCGGGCACCGTATTGCGGTGCTGAGCGCTCTCCAGGGAGTGCGCACAAGCAGGGGGCGTGGAGGCCGTTTATAAACGGCCACCCGACCCTGCACTGCCAGCGTCCGGCCATTTATATACAACGGCCGGACGGGAAGTGGTTAAAAAGGTGAAAAAACTGACCACTGCAGTGATTTTTACCAGCATTTCGTTGTCATACGATGTGGATGGACCATCAGATGTTCTGGATCTTTCAGTTTCTGAAAGAGTGTAAAACATTTCTGGTTAAAAGTGCAAAGCTTTTTACATGACAAACCTAAAAAAAATTAGTTATTATAACAAAAACATGTTTATCATGACAACAAAATCAAAAGTACTGCCATTAGCCTACTGTAGTAGCAACCAACTAACCACTGGCAATTCCTATAATATCAATCACCAATATGCGGTCACCAATCTAGGCACCAATTAAAATTATTATAAATATGGATGACCATCTGAGATGGAAATAAGAAAGTGTTGCATATGTCAAAAACATTACTACAGGAATGCTAAGGGAGAGATTTACTAAATTTGGAGCACTCAGAATCTGGTATGGTAGCCATTCAGCTTCTAACTTCAGCTTGTTCAGTTAAGCTTCGATAATAAAACCTGGAAGCTGATTGGTTTCTATGCAGAGCTGCACCAGATTTCACACCATACAGTTTTAGTAAATAACCCCCCCCCCCCCCCCCCCCGCATGACTTTAAATAGTTCATTTGAGTCAGCTTGACCCAAACAAAATTTAAAGTCACAGTATTCCTGGAGACTGTTGAGACTTTAAAATTTGTCATCACTTTTAATGCTAATCACAGGGAATGCAAATATCCCCTATAACTTCAATGGGCATTGCCATATATTCTTTTTTAAGAAATCTGGGGTCTATCAGACTCTAGATATCTCCTCTGCCCTTACATTATCTAATCAAACCAAGATCGGTGTGATCAGATGCTTTCCCAATTTACAAATGGCACGGTTTATATCATGTGAAACTGAAGTGATGAAATGCTAGTAGCTTCCGATTTCTACGACTATAGAGATGATTGGCACCATTCCGGTCTCTAATCAGCTCTATGGTTAGCTTGCAGAAACACCGGCTGCATTCTCAGGTTCCCCCGATAGCACAGGACTGCCCAAGAAGGCCTTGGAAGGCAGCGGGGGAGGGTGGGCATCATCTCCTGCTGCTTGTAAAAGCAATCCAGCAGCTAAATTAGCCACTAGTATTTTACATGAAAGCCGATCGTCAGCTGAAAAAAAAAAAACGATACCAGGATGATGACTGCAGCTACAGGCATCATCCAGGTATAACCACAAAGTCCAGTGATGTACCAGTACAATCGCTGATCCTTGTTTGGTGTATATGCTAGTTTTTTTTTTTTTTTTTTTTTTAATGCAGCCTGTGGACTGAATGAAAAAAAGAGAAGAAATCTCTGCCAGAAAATGTGTGTGGTATGCCCACCATTAGAATATACAGCCCTGCATCCACTGACTTCTAATGGTGGGCACACATAAAATGTGCCATAAAATATATATGCCGAAGCATAGGGGCCATCCATCCACTGGCCACCCCAGGTCCCCATGCTTTGGCATATATGCTTTTTTTTAATGGCGGATGAAAAATCTTATCCAACAGCACTGCACACACCTACATATGTATATTCTGAGAACAAGTTCCTGTTGCTGTCAGAATAAACAGGTCGGTGCTGCAGCTGAATGGCATTCCTGAAAAGAAAACAACAAAGGTTAACAAAATAAAAACAGTAAAATTGTAACAGTAGAGCAGTAACAACAACAAAAAACTATAACTATTTTTGGCTTTTGACATTTTTAATTTTGGGGGGGGTTCATACTTTTAATTTTTGTTTTTTTAAACTTTAACTTTTTAAAACAGATTGTGGGGTTTCTCCAAATGCAATATCCAGTTTCCTGACTACCTCTTTCAAGACCCTGTGTAAATATGTGCCCTGAACTGTGCCGTGCTGTACCCTATACTAATACTCCACTAGTGTGTGGTAGTGACGGAAGCAGTCCTTGAGGCAAAGACCAGGTTGGCCAGGACAGGAGGGACAAACAAAGCGGGTGTCATGCCTATTTCCAAGTCTGCTACAGACACAACATCTTTTTTTGGGGTGTCCTTTGGGTTGGGGTACCAGGAATGGCATTGGGAAAATGCCTCTCATGCAGCCAGCTAACTGCATCTGGGTTGGGGGTTTGGGCTACAACACCTTCTGGATACAAAACGGCCATGATGATCTCTTCCTGGTATTTTAGGAAGGATCCACTTCGTCCAGTTGCTTTTTAAAAGCACAAAAGCATTATACAGAGCCAACTGAAATAAATAAAACAGACACTTTTTTGAACCAGCATCTGGCTTTTTGGGAAACTAAGTACGGCTTTATCATCTGGTTGTTGAAGTCCACCCCTCCCATGTTAATGTTATAGTTGTGGACACAGAGGGGCTTCAACAACACCAGCTGCCATGGCAATTTGGATGGTCGTGTCTGTGTGAATGGAAGACAGGACGAAAACATCCCATTTGTCCTTGCACTTCACTATGAGCAATTCCTCATTTCTCAAGGAGGCTTTTTCCCCTTAAGACAGGTATTTACAAGCTGTCGGGGGATGCCCCGGCGATTAGGTCACACGGTGCCACATGCGCCAATTCCAAGATTGTACAAATGTCTAAATAGTGAGAAGCTTGAATAAAAATTGTCCACGTATAAGTGGTACCCCTTATGTAAAAAGGATGACACCAAGTCCCAAACTATCTTGCCACTGCTCCCCATGTAGTCTGGGAATCCCGGGGGCTACACGTGACTCTCTTTTTCCTCGTAAAACCGAAACGTATATCTATAGCCTGTTGCCCTCTCACAGGTCTTATACATCTTGAGCCATATCTGGCACGTTTGCTGGAGAGAAATTATTTGAATGCAAGGCGACCAGAAAAATTAATGAGGGACTCATTAATGCAGATGTTTTGCTGGGGAGTATAGACATCTGCAAATTTTTGGTTAAAATGATTTACGAGGGGCCGAATTTTGTGGAGCCGGCCAAATTCAGAGTCACTCCGAGGATGACAGAGTGTGTTGTCGTTGAAATGCATAAAACACATTATACTCTCATATCAAAGCCTGGCCATGGCAGCTGAGAACACGGGCATATGATGAATTGGGTCTGTGGACAAATACAACCGCAATTCATTTTTTTTTTTTGTAATGCCCATGTTGAGGGTTAGGCCCAAAAAAACTTTAAATCCGGAAACCGTAATGGGTTTCCATGCGAATGGTCTGGCAAGGTTTAAATTTGAGTTGGCAGCAATAAATTGTTGCGCATATAAATTGCTTTGATGCACAATCAATGCATACAGATCTTCTGTGAAAAACAGCTCCAAAAAAATCAAGGGGAGTAGTTAAATTTGCTGTTTCCACCTGAATTCCGGGTTGGGCAGTGAATGGGGGAAGTAAGGGTGCTGCAGAATTTGTGGGCTGCCAATCGGGATTTGCAAGCACTTCTGGAAGGACACTAGAGGGACACTAGGTCCTGTGTGCAAATTCTTGGTGGCTGCGGGACACTACTTGTGCTCACCACCGCACCAGCTTGTACTGGACTTGAGACTCGCCACGTCACCAAGTGATACTGCAGTGCTGGTATGTGAAAGACCAGGATGTACTAGGCTGCTGGTGCTCGCCAGTTCACCAAAAGGTAGAGTGGCACTAGTATTGGCACTCTGCTGCATAGGAGAGTCATCATGCGATCAACATCTCAGCAACCTGGGAACAGGGTTCGGGTATCTGATCTGATCTTAGCAGGGAGCTCTTCTCCATTGTCTGAGCCATCTGTCAGGGTGCTGCTGCTGTCTACCGGATCATATTCTGAGGCTGATAGTGTCAGGGAGTCTTCGCCTTAGCTCTCACCTGACATGCTCAGACTCCTGCAGGCCTCTTCACTAGAGTACCTTTCGTTGGACATTTTGGTGACTAAATTTATAGGTACCTAGTGCGACTCACAGGAAAAAAAAGAGCACCTGGCTGTCATAGACTGCTTGAACCGCTACAACAAAAATTTACTGGCAAGTGCTAACAGAGATCAGGCCTGATTCTGTGAACACTGCGATTTCTTGTGCAATGTAACAAGTGACCGTGATCTAAGGACACTGCACTTGCTGGGGGAGAAGAGGGAGGTAAACGTAGGGGCTAAATGCAGGTGCTAGCAGACATAGGGGATAAATGCAGGTGCTGGCAGACATAGGGGCTGATCCTGCTAACATTGTGTTTTTGGGGACACTATATTAATGTGAACACTGGTATATACTGATCTGATCAAAGATATTGCCCTGTAGCAGTATTTCTGCTAAAGGGCGGCGCGGTTAAATAATAAGTGTGTTTGGGGGGGGGGGGGGGGGGTTGGGGGTGATTTGGTGGTGGCAAATATTATCATATTCTACAAAATGCAGAATTTCCAAATTTATAGCTTATGGCTGTCCATATAAAACTGAAAACAAACATACCTTGTGCAGTATCGCTGTCCTTTTTTATATCTTTATGTTTCGAACAATAGACGCTATAAAAGAAATGGGACAATTAAACATAGATCATTTGTGTAAATGCCCCTTAGAACAGGGCAAACTTAGAGAAGGAAGAATAAACAACGCTGAAAATGGGTACCCAGCCATGTGAAGGAACTAATTATAAGTCTGTAAATGTTTAAAATTAGATGCAAGAGCATCTTATCTATGGAAGTTATATGGACAATAAAAAGGATGTGCTTACAGGCACTGACAGTCCCTGAACTGAATTTCCAAACTACTGAATAGTGTTACCCTGCATGTAAAGCTAGTGGTTGTCAGTCCAATGTATAGGCAAACATACTTAGACAATGAAAACATGGGCTTCCACACTTGTGAACAACAATAAAGACTGTTGCTTTACTAAAGACAACAAAGCTGTTCACTTTGCAAGAACTGTTGCACTTAGTAAGGGCATTTTCCTAAGCTTAGTGAATATGGTGAAGCTCTACTGACTTCTATCACCCAATCGTGTCCATGCAAAATACTGCTTTTTTAATTTACCATGCGATTGGATATTCTTTGCAATGTGAATCTTCACCGTATTTACTAAGCTAAGGCAAAACTGCTTTGCAAATTGCAAATTCTCTAGCAAGGTGAACATTCTCTTTGCCTTCAGTAAATCAACCCCACTGTCCCTATTGATACCTCAAGGGCTCTTCTGTAAAGCAGCTTTACTCTGATAGGTCATGTTACTGGCAAATTGCAGGTTTTAAATTAGACTAAATTAAAAAAAAGTCAGTCTCAATCGTGAGCTGTGGGTGAGTGCAGGGAATCCTGGCTATGACATCCCTGAACATGGCTCCTTGCACTTACTATGTATGAATGCCAGGAATGGTGCAGATATCATTATGTCAGTGTCACACTCTGCAACATTCAGGACCTCCAACCACCAGCAGAAGCCTGAAGAAAAAGAGGACCCAGCAGTGAAACTTCAGTTAAAGGTAACTAATAAAACATAAAAACACAGCTGGGGACGTCGACATGCCACTATGGGTTTAGGGAGCCGGAGTTGCCCTTTAATATCTGCAGATAACAGCATTTGTGACTGATCTCAGAAAAGTAACGACTACTGTATGTCGCAGCTAAACGCTTTCAAGTGTAGTTTAAATATTTGGGCTGGTGATAGGAATGCACAGATACCTGTATTGGTGATGATACCGAGCATTTTCATGAATACTCGTGAAAATGCTCCCAATACGTGAAACTGATACTTTGCAGTACAATACAAAATGTATGGAAGCAAATTGCACCACAAAGTTAGCAGGCAATTTGAACAGGGATAGTCTCCTTACCAAATCGCATGTGGTGTCTCCACAGCTCCCGTGTGAACCCAGGCTTGTCATAGCCCGAGTTCACACAACAGCAGTGCAGGAAACCTCCCTGCACCAATCCTATGCTGTCAAAGGAGGGAAAGCTGGGGATTTGAAATCCCTGTGGCTCTCTCTCCTCTCAGTGCAGGGATGACAAAACAGGTTACATGGCTTTTGATTGGTCAGCACCACCACAGTGTCTAGCCGTACTGTCATCCCCGCAAGGAGAAGAGATAAAGCCACTGGGATTTCAAATCCCCAGACCTGTGAAGCAGCTTTCTTTTCTCTCCTTGCAGGGATGACAGCACGGGCTAGACGGCTTCTGATTAGACAGTCCCATGGTGGTGCAATTTCCATTTGTAACAGCTACTGTATGTCACAGCTAAACATTTTCTAGTGTAGTAAAAATATTTGGGCTGGCACTAGAGATGCACCGATACTGGTATACTGAGTATTTTTAGGAGTGCTCTTACTTGTGAAAATGCTTTCAATACATTTAACGATGCAATTTGCGTCAAATACAAAATGTATGGAAGCAAATTCTACCACAAAGAATAGCATGCGATTTAAACAGGAATTTGATTCCTGTCCAAATCTCATGTGGTTTCCCCACTGCTTCTTTGTGAACCCGGGCTTGGCATAGCCTGAATTTACACAAGAGCTTAAAGAATCCTTTTTCGTGAGTTTACCCTCTATTATAGGATTGACCCACGTAAATATAAAAACCACAGAAAGCATCAGTTTAAGCCCTACTTTAATCTCACAGCTTTTTATCTCTTTACTGTCTGGAATCCAAGAATGTTATGATTTTGACTGATTCAGGTCAGGAAATGCCTTAACCACTTGCCCTCCAGAGGATATGCCCCCCCTTCCTGACCAGGCCATTTTTTGCAATACGGTGCTGCGTTATTTTAACTGGCAATTGTGCGGTCATGCAATGCTGTACATAAATGAAGTTTATGTCCTTTTTTCCCACAAATAGAGCTTTCTTTCGGTGGTATTTGATCACCTGTGCGGTTTTTATTTTTTTTTCACTATAAACAAAAAAAGACCAAACAATTTTGAAAAAAAAACCTTTTTTTTTTTCAATTTTTGCTAAAAAACATATCCAGTAAAAAAATGTCCTCATTAAAATATGTTCTCCTGGGACACTACAGAATTAAAAAAACTCATTATACAGGGTTTTCTGCCAGATGTATATAGAAATTCCTCTTTCAAAATGGCGGCACGTGGCGTCGGCTTACCCTGCGCGTTACATCAGTACTTCTGAAGTCACGTGTTATTACGTAACGCGTAGGGTACGCCGATTACGTCAAGCTGTTAACCGATAGTCCACGTGCCGCCATTTTGAAAGAGGGATTTTCATATACATCTGGCAGAAAACACTGTATAGTGAGTTTTTAACCCAGTAGTGTCCCAGGAGGACAAAGTTTAATGTGAGTTGAACATATATCGTTTTAATAAAGGATGATTTTAGCAGAAATACTACACTATATTGAGCCTTTTATTTACATGGATATGGAGCGATCCAGATCGGCTTAAAAGTGCTGGCAAACAGTGGTGAAGATCTGTGTACCATTATACCCTCCCGAGTTAAAGGGAAAAGTGCAGTTTGACCTGTCATTATGGGTCAAACTTGGAGATGAGCGCAATAGTGTGTTGGAGGTGGAAGAGCACTAAGGGGTGACACAGGAGCACCGCACACATTTATGCAGCAGTGTGAGTACACTGGTTGACTTATAGTACAGCGGATTTAAAAAAGGGACAGTCCACCACTATAGAGACTGTATCCAGTCGATACTTTTTGTTGGTGTATTTGTATCACGGTATACAGGAAGTGTACCACACAGGTCCACGTGATGTGATTTAGGATTAAAAACAGAAAAAAAAAAAAAAAAGACAGATCACTATTAAAGATTTTTTTGTATTTGTGTGTACTGTGGTATATTTATAGCACTGGTTATATGCAGTCTCTATGGGAGTTTATAAGTATGCATTGGAAGATATCATGAGTAGCATATATTGACCCTCATGAGCACAGTATATTGATCATCACACATGCACATTTAAGACTGTAAGCACTATTATAATTATTTATTTATTGTTGCGCTGCATTTTCTTCATTTTAAGTGGGAACATATTATATGCTAGCTGCACATTTATTTATGAGCTTTTCATTGCGCTGAAGGTTTTCTATACACAATAAATTCAGTTCCTCTAATCTTTCCTCATAGCGGAGCTTCTCAATGCCTCTTATCAGTTTGGTTGCCCTTCTCTGTACTTTCTCCAGATCCCCAATTTTCTTTTTGTGAATTGGTGCCCAAAACTGAACTGTATATTCCAGATGAGGTGTTACCAATGATTTGTACTGGGGTAATATGATATCTCTCTCTCTGGAGTCTATACCTCTTAATACAAGAGGATTTTGCTCGCTTTAGAAACCGCAGCTTGGCATTGCATGTCATTATTAAGCTTGTGATCTACCAGAACTCCCAGATCCTTCACCACCATTGATTCCCCCAGTTGTACCCCCCCTAGTATGTATGATGCATGCATATTCTTAGCCCCCAAGTGCATAACCTTACATTTATCAACATTAAACCTCATTTGCCACATAGTTGCCCAATTAAACAGAGCATTGAGGTTGGCTTGTAAGTTGGAGACATCCTGTAAGGACGTTATTCCACTGCACAGCTTGGTGTCATCTGCAAAGACTGAAATGGGATTTTTAATCCCAGACTCTATATTGTTTATAAATATATTAAAAAGTAAGGGTCCCAACACTGAACCTTGGGGTACACCACTGACAACCCCAGACCATTCAGAGTATGGATCGTTAACCACTACTCTCTGAATACGATCTTTTAGCCAGTTTTCTATCCATTTACATACAGATTTTTCCAAGCCTGTAGACTTTACCTTATACATTAGCCGTGTGTGGGGAACTGTGTCAAACACTTTTGCAAAATCCAAGTATACCACATCCACCGCCACCCCTCTGTCCAAGTATACCACATCCACCGCCACCCCTCTGTCCAAGTATACCACGTCCACCGCCACCCCTCTGTCCAAGTATACCACGTCCACCGCCACCCCTCTGTCCAAGTATACCACGTCCACCGCCACCCCTCTGTCCAAGTATACCATGTCCACCGCCACCCCTCTGTCCAAGTATACCACGTCCACCGCCACCCCCTCTGTCCAAGGTTTTGCTCACCTCCTCATAAAAAGAAAATCAGAAAAACGTCTGTCTTTCATGAATCCATGCTGTCTGTTGCTTAAAATATTTTTTTTCTCAGCAAGAACTCATCTATGTGGTCTTTTATTAAACTCTCCAGTATCTTCCCAACTATAGAAGTTAAACAAACAGGTCTATAATTACTGGGTAAAGATTTCGACCCCTTGTTAAATATTGACACCGCATTGGCCTTACTCCAATCCAGTGGTACTATGCCAGTCATTGAAGGAAAGAAATTTGCATAATCTATAGGCAGCCTAATGCAGGCCATAGATGGGTCGAAAATCGGCCGATTTGTCGGCCGAAAATAAAATCGGCCGATTTTCGGATCGTTAGTGGGCGATTTGGTCGGCCGTTTTTCGGTATTTTGGCCGTTTTTGTTTTTCGGTAAAGTTGGAAAAAATCGGCCGATTTTGCCGATCGGCCGATTTTCGCGGCAATTAGTGGGCATGAGCAGTGACCTGCAAGAGGAAGACAAAAAGAAGAAGAGGAAGAGGATGAGGAAGAGGATGAAGAAGAAGAAGAGGAAGAGGATGAAGAAGAAGAAGAGGAAGAGAAGAAGAGGATGAGGATGAAGAAGAAGAAGAGGAAAGAAGAGGATGAAGAAGAAGAAGAAGAGGATGATGAAGAAGAAGATGAGGATGAAGAAGATGAGGATGAAGAAGAAGAGGAAGAAGAGGATGAGGATGAAGAAGAGGATGAGGATGAAGAAGAGGAGGATGAAGAAGAGGAAGAAGAAGAAGAAGAGAAAGAAGAGGATGAGGATGAAGAAGAAGAAGATGAGGATGAGGAAGATGAAGAAGAAGAGAGGATGAGGATGAAGAAGAAGAGGATGAGGAAGAAGAGGATGAAGAAGAGGATGAGGATGAAGAAGAAGAAGAAGAGGATGAGGATGAAGAAGAAGAGGATGAGGATGAAGAAGAGGATGAGGATGAAAGAAGAAGAAGAAGAGATGAGGATGAAGAAGAAGAGGATGAGGATGAAGAAGTAGGATGAAAATAAGAAGAATTCCAGTCCAGCAAAAAGTATCTCTGCAGAGAGCTCCGCTATTTCTGACAGTTCTTTGACATTTACAGCGGTTGAAACATTGTATCTATTTGTTTCCGAATAAAAACATCTGTATCCTAAATGGAAACAAATAGATACAATGTTTCAACTGCTGTAAATGTGAAGGAACTGTCAGAGAACTGTCAGAAATAGCAGAGCTCTCTGCAGGGACACTTTTTGCCAGCTGTAGAAGGGATGAAAATCGGCCGATTTTTTTTACCATTGATGGTAACGTTGGCCGCTTGAACGACCGAATTTTCGTTTTTTAAAAGAAAAATCTGCCGTTTTTTCTCCCCATCTATGGCCTGCATAAGACTATGAAAATGGAGGTTGTTAGTACAATGATTCTCTGCCTTCATATGTATTTTTCAATTGGGCTTTACAAATTATAAAACTTAACAACAGTCTCTTTTTGGGTTGCTCTGGCTACGTGTTGGTTTCAGCCTGTAATGTATGATCAATGTTTCTAATATATATCCCATCCATTATTGTTAATGTATGAAAAAAACTTGAAAACCTGAATAAAAACCTGACAGTAAAAATTATAAACTTTAAAATAAAAATCATCCTATATCATAATAGTTTCTTTTCAGATTTGTTAAAATATTTACAATGTGGACCAGTTCAGGGAAAGTATGGTTTATGCACAGATTTTCCACCCTGTAAACTTCTCAGAAACCTAAACAATTCAGACTAACAATATTATAAAAAATAGACACAGGATACTGTCAATGAAAGCCATATGTCAAAACTACCAGTAGATGCAGAGTGTATGTGCACTGCAAAATACATTGCTTTACTTTGCTCCCTCTTTGTCTGTTAAATATACCAAAACACCTCCCCGATATGGAGAGGAGAGGGAGGTGCTATGTAGTCTAACATACTCCCTGTTCTAGGGCGAAAACACTGCTTAGAGTGGTAGTATTCCTTGGGCAAGAACTGTGTTAATAGCAGGATTTAGTAGATTAAAAAGAAAGGGAAAAAAAAAAAAAAAAAAAGTGTATAAAAAAAAAAGGAAACAAAACCAATCACCACATCTAGGGACAAGGAAGCTGCAATACTATTTAATGGGTTACTTATTTATATTTTAAGCATATTTAACCTCCCTGACGGTATTTCCCGAGTGTAGCTCGGGGTAAAGGTTCAGTACCAAAAGCGGTAACCCCGAGCTACACTCGGGCTTACCATGCGGCGCTGCTCCGGGATCTGTTCTTTACTTACCTTGTCCTGCGCTCCTGCAATGTCCCTCCTGCAGTGTCCCCGGCAATGTCCTCCAGCAGATGCCGGCATTTGTCTTCTGGGTTCCATCCCTTGCAAGTGTCGGGACGTACGGGGACGGAACAGCGGGAAATTTGAAAATGACAAAGTGACATTCACTGAAATCATAGTAAAACATTACTGTATCATTTCACATACATTTTGTCCCGAGTGCTTTGTCCTGTGCCCTGCCTGCATTTTTACTGTTCTTTCTGCCTGGAAAACTGAGAAATGTCCATAGCGTCCATTTAGGTCAAAAGCAGTTTTAGACCAGCTAGAGAACAGCGATAGTAAATTAGAACCACTTGCAGAATTGAGTGATGATTCGTGGGGAAATTCGTCATCAGACACTGAAACCGATTTTGCGACTTTGCTCAGTGATGTGCGAACTTGGCGCTATATTTCAAATTTCAGTGTTTTTGGTTTGATTATATTATTGAATTAAATTTACTATTATTTTTAATGATTATTTATTAAATTATAATTTATGTTTTCAAGTTTCAAATTGTAACATACCTGGGATGTTTACTAGACTCTTGTTCGGACAGATTTCAGCGAGTTATTCCTAAAAATTACAGGCCTACAATAAAAAAAATACATATTTCCATGCAAAAAAATGTACCACTTTGAGCACAGAAATATGGACATAATCAGACCGCTAGGGAAGTTAAACCCAATAAAAATCAACGTTTCCTGGAAAAACTCAAGCTTGGCACCTGCCCTTCTTATCTCACAGGAGTTGCGATTATTCCTTTCAACCAATAGGGATTTTTTGAGACAGGCTTCTTTCACATGGAACGAAGTCCGCTCCGAACAGCAGGAGATCTGTGAGTAGATTCCCTGCTGATCAGAGCTGAAATTGACAGATTTCATATCCATGCCCATACAGTTTCTGCCTAGAGGACACTAGTCAGCTCTATGGGCAGCCAGGTCTAAAACGGGCCTCACTGTCCGTTTACATTAGGCTACTTTCAATCCTTTCCACAAAAATGGAGGACACAATCCTTTTTCGGTTTTTCTTTTCTGGACCTGGAGGTAGGCGAGTATAAATGGGCACAAGTCTGTTTACATCCACCTTTCCATAGGGCTCCATAGACCTCCTGATCAGGTCTGTCTGAAAAAGCAGGTGGACCGGATCAGAATGCTTGTGTGAAAAAGGTCTAAGACTAACAAGAGAAGTCAAGATCTGCATATTTTAGTTGCCTTCTCTGGATCAACCAATCATTTTCACTACAGCTTTCACTGAAGCTAACCTTTACCAATGTATTTTTTTCATCATAATGATCAGGATAAAATTGGTCAGCTTTCTTTAACACCTATACTTCTACAACATATGAAAAGTTCTGTCTATCCATGTTTTCCAAAAAGTAAAGAATACAAGAACACAATGTAACTTACACATATCGCTCGCTGTCTCTAGTTCCTTTGTCTTTTTCCACACATACATAATGGTATGTTTGTGACATCTTTTTATGTCACAACCAATAGTAGCTCCAGGTTGTTTACAGTATGAACATTTCTGCAAAATGAAGTAAAAAAATAATTGCCATTTAAATATAGCATAGAGACAAAAAAAAAAAAAGGAAGGAGGATAAGAGTTTCATGAAATCACCATGATGAAGTCTCACGGGGAGAGATTAAATTGGCGACACCACAGAGCTAACAGGTGCAACATTGTGGAAAGATACTATATTCTGTTACTAAAGCTAGACTGCAGCAAGGAATGGAAACCATAATCGTATTATTTATTAAATAAAATAACTTAGAACTGCAGTGATTGGTGGGAGTCTGGGCAGCTTGGGCCCTCCCACTGCTGCGAATGGTAACGTAATTTGGGTGGCTCATAGAAAAAAAATGCAGAGGGTCATTCACATAAATGGTGGCTGCGGGCCACCATTTATGAAGGCATAGCAACCACTGGTCCAACGGAGAGAAAAAGGAGAAGATGAAAAAGGGAATTATTCAATGACTGCTGCAGTAATTCAAAATAAGGAGTACAGAAAAATGCAAGGTAAGAGAGATCTAATATACACAAGTACAGTTACATATCTGCCCAAGAGTTCAGTTTTAAAGTGAAAATCCTCCTTAGACAGGCATGAAAAAAAAAACTCACCATTAAAATAACCTGATCTCAAATTTATTTATACTTTATTAACCATTGAGAAATATTTGAAAACCATCGAGTCAAATGGGGGTCACAAAAGAGAGATGGGGTCATGAATACACAGAAGCAACTTCAATGAACGTGGTATATAGTCTTAATTTTTTTGTAGAAACCCAAAAATGTTTCCTGGACATTTTTTTTTCCCTGGTAGTAAAAAAAAAAAAAACAAAAAAAAAAAACAAAAAAAAAAAAAACACACAACAACACACCACATACACAGGTAAGCAGCTTTATCAACAGAATTTTCTACCATCCTTGTGCTACGTGTGTATATATTTAGATATAGATTTCATACCATTTTTTTTCCTCTCTTAATCTCTGCTAGCACAGATGAAATATCAAATTCTGGTTCATCGTCAGACTCTGTTGTAATCACTTGTGGTGAGAAAATCTGAAACAAATAAATGAATACGTTGAAAAGAATATTTTAAAAAAGAAAAAAAAACACAAAGCAAACCAAAAACACCTGTAATTTGGATTGTTTTGCTTATATTACTTCTTATAATTTTTAGTTTTGAGTGGAAAAAAGAAAACGAACAACAAAAATCCTGTCAAGCATTCATTGATGTCCATGGACTTGGGAAGAATTCCCTGAATTTTTGCCTTCAATACGACAACGTTATGCTAAATTCTGAACTAATACAAACTCTACTAATCACTATACCTTTATTTTTTTCTCTCTCTACCATTTTGGCTCTCACTTGATATCTTTCACTTGGGATAACAAGGCCTCCATACTCAATACTCCCTCCTCACCTTACCTAAGCAATGTAGAGGCATTGGTCTACTTGATCTCTTACTGTTTAAGGAAACCAAATGGTCTCATTTGCAGACACTAACAGACTTTATCATCACCCACTCCTGCTGAATATACCTGTTAGAGTGGAAAAGCATTGGAACCTCCTTCAGTCTTTACTTGTTGCCTGTACCCCCAATGACAGGACTTCCTCAATTCATGTCCCTGTGACACCCTGTGTCAAGGTGTCATTGGCATATGAGGGGAAGGTGAATCTCCCCAAAGATGTAGGTGGGAGAATCAATGCTGCGGTTGTTGATGATAAAGAACAAACATACTGCTCGTGTCCACACTGTCCATGAAAAAAGTCCATAGTGCTGTGAAAAAAAAAAAGCGTTGTCCTACTCCACACTAATTGACCCAAACTAATTAAAATACTATATTGCCAAAAGTATTGGGACACCCCTCCAAACCATTGGATTCAGGTGTTTCAATCACCTCCATGGCCACAGGTGTATACAATCAAGCACCTAGGCATGCAGACTGCTTCTACAAACATTTGTGAAAGAATGGGTCGTTCTCAGGAGCTCAGTGAATTCAAGCGTGGAACCGTGATAGGTTGCCACCTGTGCGATAAGTCCATCTGTGACATTTCCTAGCTAATAAATATTCCACGGTCAACTGTGGGTGGTATTATAACAAAGTAAAAGCAACTGGGAACAACAACTTCTAAAGATGATGCACAAGAAAGCCCGCAAACAGTTTGGTGAAGCCAAGCAGACTAAGGACATGGATTACTGGAACCATGTCCTGTGGTCTGATGAGACCAAGATAAACTTATTAGGTTCAGATGGAGTCAAGCGTTGTGGCGGCAACCCAGGTGAGGAGTACAAAGACAAGTGTGTCTTGCCTACAGTCAAGCATGGTGGTAGGAGTGTCATTCCAACGTAACGACCCCAAACACACGTCCAAGACGACCAATGCCTTGCTAAAGATTCTGAGGGTAAAAGGTGATGGTCTGGCCAAGCATCTGTGGGGCAATCCTCCATAACGGAACGGTGGGAAGTGGCACAAGGTCTCCAACATCCTGCTCTGTGATGATGTCATGGAGGAGTGGAAGAGGACTCCAGTGGCAACCCTGTGAGCTCTGGTGAACTCCATTGCCCAAGAGGGTTAAGGCCAGGAGTTGCTGGAATATATTGGTGGCCACACAAAATATTGAATTATGGGACCATAATGTGGACCATTTTCACTTAGGGGTGTACTCACTTTTTGTTGCCAGGCGGTTTTAGACATTAATGGCGGGTTCTTGTGTGTTGAGTTATTTTGAAATTGGTGGACAGCAAATTTTACATGGTTAATACAAGCTGGTACACTCACTACATTGTAGCAAAGGAGAGAGAGGGGGGGGTGGGGAGAGAGAGAGGGGGGGGCGTAGAGAGAGAGAGAGAAGAGAGGGGGAGAGAGAGTGAGAGGGGAGGAGAGAGGGGGAGAGAGAGACGAGGGGAAGGTGAAGGGAGAGAGAGAGAGGAGGGGGGGAGAGAGAGAGGAGGGGGGGAGAGAGAGGGGGGGGGTGGAGAGAGGAGAGGGGTGAGAGAGAGAGAGGGGGAGAGAGGGGGAGGGAAGAGAGGAGATGAGAGGAGAGAGAGGGGGAAGAGAAGACGAGAGAGGGGGGAGAGAAGGAGAGAGAGGGGGGAAGAAGAGAGAGGAGAGGGGGGAAGATGAGAGAGAGAGAGGGGGGGAAGAGAGAGAGAAGTGAGAGGGGTGGAGAAGTGAGAGAGAGCGGGGGTGAAGAGAGAGAGAGAGGAAGAGAAGAGAGAGAGAGGGGGGGGAAGAGAGAGAGGCGGGAGAGAGGGGGTGGAAGAGAGAGAGAGAGAGCGGGGGGGGAAGAGAGAGAGAGGAGAGGGGGGAGACGAGAGAGAGAGGGGGGGGAGAGAGAGTGAGAGGAGGGGGGAGAGAGAGAGGGGTGGAGAGAGAGGAGAGTGGGAGAGAGAGAGAGAGAGGGGATGAAGAGAGACGTGAGGGAGGGAAGTGAGTAGAGAGTGTGAGGGGGGAACGAGGAGAGAGGGAGGGGGAAGAAGAGAGAGAGAGAGAGAGGAGGAGTGAGAGGGAAGAAGGAGAGGAGAGAGAGAGGGGGGGGGAGAAGAGCGAGAGAGTGGGGGGAAGACCCGATCGAGAGAGAGAGGAGGGGGAAGAGGAGAGAGAGAGGGGGGAGAGAGAGAGCGAGGGGGGAAAGGAGAGAGCGAGGGGGGAGGGGAAGGAGAGTGCGATGAGAGAGAAGAGAGGGGGAGAGAGAGAGGAGGAGATGAGAGAGAGAGGAGAGAAGAGAGAGAGAGAGAGGGGGGGGAGCGGGGAGACGGCGAGAGAGAGGGGGGGGGGGAATAGAGAGGAGAGAGGAGAGGGGAAGAGAGAGAGAGTCGGGAAGAGAGGAGAGGAGGGGGGGAAGAGAGAGTGATGAGAGGGGGGGAGAGAGAGAGGAGAAGAGGAGAGATGAGAGGGGATAGAGAGAGAGAGAGAGGAAGCGAGAGAGAGAGGAGAGAGTGGGGTGGGAAGAGAGGAGAGAGAGAGGGAAGAGAGAGAGAGGGGGAAGAAGAGGAGAGAGTGGGGAGGGAAGGAAGAGAGAGAGGGGGTGAAGAGAGAGAGAGGGGGGGGGACAAGAGAGAGAGAGAGAGAGAGAAGAGAGAGAGAGGGGGGAGGGAAGAGAGACGAGAGAGAGGGGGAAGAGAGAGAGAGGCCGGGAAGAGGAGAATGAGCAGAGAGAGGGGGGGAAGGAGAGAGAGGAGGGGGGAGAGAGAGAGATGTGAGAGGGGGAAGAGAGATGAGAGGGGGGAAAGAGAGAGAGAGGGGGGAATGAGAGAGAGAGGGGGGAATAGAGATGAGGGAGCGGGGAAGAGAGGAGAGAGAGGGGGGGAAGATAGAGAGAGAGAGAGGGGGAGGGAAGAGAGAGAGAGAGAGAGAGGGGGGAAGAGAGAGAGAGAGAGGGGCGGGGGAGATAAGAGAGAGAGAGAGAGGGGGGGAAGAAGAGGAGAGAGAGAAGAGAGAGAGAGAGAGGGGAAGAGAGAGATGAGAGGGGGGAAGAGGAGAGAGAGATGAGGGGGGAGAGGAGAAGAGAGAGAGAGGGGGAGAAGGAGATAGAGAGGGGGGGAAAAGAGAGAGAGAGAGGGGGGGAAAGAGAGAGAAGAGGGGCGGGTAGGAGAGGAGCTGAGGAGAGGGGGAACGAGAGAGAGAGAGAGAGAGAGAGACGAGGGGGGAAAGAGAGAGGAGAGGCGTGAGAGGGGGAAGGAGAGAGAGAGAGGGGGGAAAGAGAGGAGGAGAGTGAGAGGGGGGGAAGAGAGAGAGAGAGGGGGGAAGAGAGGAGAGAAGAGAGTGGGGGAAGAGAGAGAGAGATAGAGGGGGGGGAAGAGAGAGAGAGGGGGGGGAAGAGAGAGGGGGGAAAGGAAGAGAGAGAGAGTGGGGGGGGGAGAGGAGAGAGAGTGAGGGGGGGCCGTGAGAGGAGGAGAGAAGAGAGAGGGGGGAAAGAGAAGAGAGAGAGAGAGGGGGGAAGAGGAAGAGAGAGAGGGGGGGGGACGAGAGAGAGAGAGAGGGGGAAGAGAGAGAGAGAGAGGGGGGGCGAAGAGAGGAGGAGCGAGGGGGGGAAGAGAGCGAGAGAGATGGGGGAAAGAGCAGAGAGAGGGGGGGGGAAGAGAAGAGAGAGAGAGTGGGGAAGAGAGAAGAGAGAGAGGGGAAGGAGAGAGAGAGGGGGGGGAAACGAGAGGGGGAGAGAGAGAGAGAGAGGAAGAGAGAGAGAGGGGGGGAGGGAGGTGGAGAGGAGTGAGAGAGGGGGGGAAGAGAGAGAGAGGGGGGGGGGGAAAAGAGACGAGAGAAGAGGGGGGGGGGAAGAGGAGGAGAGAGAGAGGGGGGGGAAGAGAGGAGAGGGGGAGGGAAGAGAGAGCGAGAGAGGGGAGGAGAGAGAGAGAGAGTGGGAGAAGTGAGAGAGAGAGAGGGGGAAGAAGAGAGAGAGAGGGGGGGGGGGAGAGAGAGAGGGGGGAGAGAGAGAGAGGGGGGAGAGAGAGGGGGGAAGAGAAGAGAGAGAGGGGGGGGGGAGAGAGAGTGAGAGAGGGGAGGAGAAGAGAGAGAGAGAGAGGGGGAGAGAGAGAGAGAGAGAGGGGGGAAGTAGGAGAGAGGGGATAGAGCAGAGAGGGGGGAAGAGGAGAGAGAGGAGGGGAAAGAGAGAGAGAGAGAGAGAGAGGGGGGGGAAGGAGAGAGAGAGGGCGGGGGAAGAGAGAGAGGGGGGGGAAATGAGAGAGAGGGGGGGGGGGAAGAGATGAGAGGTGGGGAAGAAGAGAGGAGCAGTGAAAGAGAGAGGGAAGAGGATGAGGAGAGAGGGGGGAGGAATGAGAGATGGAGAGAAGAGAGAGAGGGGGAGGAGAGAGAGAGGAGGGGGAAGAGAGAGAGAGGGAGAGGGAAGAGAGAGAGAGGGTGGGGGGGGAGAAAGGAGAGAGGGGGGGGGAGAATGAGAGAGGGGGGAAAGCGAGGAGGGGGAGACGAGTGAGGGGGAAAGAGGAGCGGGGGGAAAGAGAGAGGGGGGAAAGAGAGAGAGGGGAAAGATGACGTGGAGGGTAAGAGGGGGGAGTTTGAGAGGAGAGTGGAGGGAATGGGAAGAGAGAGAGAGAGGG